AAGATATGAACTACCAAAGTCAGAGGCTTGACTTTTAGTATTTTTTCGGTATTTTTTTGGTATACTACGGTGTCTTGTGCATTCGTCCGAAACCTTATAACTCCATGACTATATTTTGAATGCAAACTGATTCTACGTAAATATACGCGTCTAACAAGGCATTCCACTCGAAAATCGGACGAAAAGTCCAAAAGATATGAACTACCAAAGTCAGAGGCTTGACTTTTAGCACAGCTCTGCCGTCTCATTGATGCTCGTGGCCAGAGCCGCGATAAAGGCAGCCGTTGTCGTTCAGCAAACTCGAACTGCAACTGGAACTCGAGCTTGGGCAACAGCAACAGCGAGAGGCATGCCACACAAGCCCTCGTTGACTTCCTTTCTCGATTCGCTCATGCCCCTTAACGATCCGCTCATTTAACGCGTTTCGCTGGCTGTTGCAGCGTTGTTTTTATGAAGACATTTTGCCCACTTGCAGGCCGCCGAAAATTGAGACATTAAAAACGCCAAGCTCGTCCCGTGCCCCACGCTGATCTTACGTGCAGCAGGAAGCGCAAGAGCCCAAGGGGCAGACAGCAGACAGCAGGGGCAGGGGCAGCACGAGCGCAAAAAGTAAAGAGGAAAAAAATACAAATTTAATTAAGGGCGTTGCATTTCATTTGTTTTCATCATCACTTTTCTCGCATGGGGATGCTTATCAGCGGTCAGCGGCAGTTGCATCATCATCATCATCATTGTCATTATCATCAGCTGGAAGCATCGTTATGATCGGCTACATTAACATAATTATCATCGTCAGCCGCAGGCTCATCAGCATCAATATGCTATCAATGTTTACGCATGCATTTAAAATGCATATTAAGTTACACAAAATGAGTGAGAGAGAGAGAGAGAGAGAGAAGGCAGAGGGAGAATGAAAGAGACATAGCTTGTTTATCTATGTATATATGTAAGTTTTGGAAACATCACCCTGCTGCAGTCTAGCTGTCTCTCGCCCGCAGCTCTGACATTTACAAATGATATTTGATTATGAGACAAATTGTGTGATGCGCCGACAGACGCGTCTGATCAACAGCGGAGGAGGAGGATTACAAGGAGGAGGGCCAGCTGAAGTTGGGATTTAAAGAGCGAGAGGGAGAGGGAGGCCAGTAGCTGCTTATCAGTAATGTCGCCAGCTATATGAGCTGATCATCAGCTGCCTCCCGCCATGGACGACACGCTGTTTGCCTTTAATTAGGCTGCGTGAACAACAACAAAGAGAACAAAATTGCATGGCCGTGTGCCTAGGTGGAGGGGCGTTGGGCGAGGGGGGGGGAGAGGGACGACGCGACGTTAACGAGAATTTATGGGAAATTATATTTTGTTGTTAATTTTTAATATTTCTCTGATACGCACTCATCAGTTCTATCACATCTATTGCTATCTCCTTCACTTTTGGTCTATTCTTTGTTGAACTTTTGCCTTGTTTTGTTAACTTATTTGTGAAGGGGGGGCAGGCGTTTGAGGGGGTGCGTGCCATGGTGCTTGGATTGCAATTAAGACAATTAATGGCTGGTTGGGTCAAATGCTTGTGGGTTTTCATAGAGCTTATTGTGTGGGTTCTGTGATAGAATTGAGATAAATGCCGGATTCATATTGCAATAAGTCAAAATTAAAAGTGAATGCAACGGAAAGAGAAAGATAGAGAGGGGAAGAAATAGAGAGACGTAAAGAGAGAAAGGTGTAGATACAAAAAGTAAGAAATATAAAGCGTTCAAAATGGAGAGCGGTGGAGCGGCAGAAATGAAGAAACATTCTTTGATTATATTTAGTAAATAAAAGGTAGAAAAAATATAATATATATACATAATATACATGGATATGTATATGACAATATAAGGAGAGATGTGTCTTATATTTAAATATTTAGCTAACAAATTCATTGCGTACAATAAACAAAAATTTTGTATATATTAGAACTTTATGATGATGAAGCTCGATAAGGCATACGAAAATTCATTTAGTTTACTCTGAGTACGACTATTGAAGTGCGTCAAAAGGTATCAAATATGGCAGATCTCTAACAAAAAAAAACATATTTAGCCAAAGCCAAGACAATTATTATCCACTATAAAAACCTGCTCAGTAAATTGAAGGCAATTATGAACCAAGTTTAATTAAGTAAAAAATAAAAACTATTAATCTTGTTTATTGGTTTATTTTGTTGTTGTTTATTGTTATTTATTCCCAAGCTAGTAGAGTCTTCCATAAATAAATCTAAAAACTCTAGCAGTATACCCTAGGCAGCAACAAATATAACAAAATAGAATTGAAACTCAAGCGAATTTCAGCGCTGACAGCGTAACTAACTCCCAGTTGCAAATACCACATAAATTTGGCTAACCGTGTAACCGTGCGGACGCTTAACCTTGACACCTTAGGTGTTCTATTGAGTGTGCAATGGACGGCAACGCCATATGATATCATACTCGGGCTGAGCGTAAAAAGTTTTGGGCTGACAAACCGTCGATAATTTGTTTATGCTCGCTCGTCCGGCCAGCGCCCCACTGTGACTTTCAAGGCTCTCTGGCTCAAGGTCATAAACGTGCAGATCGGGGCATACAAATTGGCAGCTAACTGGCCTCGGTGTAACGCACAGTGAGAGACGAGAGTTGAGAGATGAGAGACGAGAGACGAGAGAGACCCAGCGACGTCTTGTGGATTTACGATCTATGAAGAATTCTTTTCCAACAACTCGAAACAATGACAAAGACCATAAAAATCAATTACGACACGTCTGTCCCTCAACTGTGACACGGCCACAGACAAGCCAACGGACAGGCCCTAAAAACAGCGAATGCATCTTCAACAAATTCGTCGATGTCTCTCGGGTTCTCTCTGACGATTTTATGACAACTCATCATAGCGTGACAAGCAGCATAAAGTCGCCGTCTATAATTAGCCATTAAAGCGTGCATTGTTGATCGCAACGAGATCTATTCGGGCTCAATACTACGCGATACGATCGTTCTTCTTCATATTCTTCTTCTTCTCATTCTTGTTCATGTCAGAGGAAAATCGAATGCCGTTGATCGGTTTGTGCGTGGAACTGTTTTTCTTTTTCTCTTTTTCATAAAGGTCAATTTTCCCGGAATCTCTTACTTGAAACACAACTCGACTCAACTCAATTTCTCAGTTGTCAGCTGGGCCGTAATGGGGGCTGCATTCAATAGTCGATTGCCGATGTCTGCGTGTCGTAAGCTCAACTAACCTTACCTAACACAGCTTTGCGTGCTCAGTTAGCTATGCTACCAACATGGCCATGGCCAAGCCGAACAGCTCAATTAGCTAGAGTTTTGTGGGTAAATATAGAGCTCAATAGAGATACGGCGTGTATGTGGGAACATTAAGTAGGAGCAGGAGAGCGAATTGAGTCTGTGTTCATAAATTAGATTTGCCATGGTCTATGATAGAAACTAGAATCTTTAAAGTATAATATAATAATCGAAGAACGGAATTCAAAGTCGTTGAATCCATGAATATTTGAACAGACCTCGTATGTCTTAATGGCTCGAAAAAAATCAGTTAGGATCAACTTAAGTTTAACTATCATTTTATTTTATTTTTTTAGTTTTAAAAAATAGACAAAAATACACTTTAGCTCACATTTGGAATCCTATATTTGAAACTACGATTACAATCAGGTTAGAGTATGACGATATGTCTTTAGATTCGATAGAAAACACACTTAGATAAATAAAAACTCTCGTTCTGATCATTGATTTCTAATGTGAATCCATTATAAAATAATATTTTACCTAACCAGATGACATATTATATGCTTAATAACGAACATTAAAAAGAATTAATTGGAACAGGGATTCATAACTCATTTGTACCAATTTAGAGTCCATTAGAAAATAATACATCCCAGATTATCCAGATGACATATTGAGCACTCAAAATTTCCTTAAGCTCCCGCAATACCTTCCTCTATTTAAGAACAACAGCCACAGCATCGCATAGATCAGAGCAGCTTTGACCCGTTTATGGCTAATGAAACCGATTAGCATTTTCGGGTTAAGAATTCCAGTTAAGTCCTAAGTATTTGTGGGCCTGAACCAAGGCTAGCTTTTGTTGATTAGGGCATATTCTTAGCCAGTTACAATGCTAAATGCAGTCTGAGCTATGCACACAGCTCTCGAGAAATCGCTAGGTGGGCTGCCAGCTCAGGGCCCTGATAAGCCCAGATTCTGAGGTTGCATTTTCGTTGGTTGTGATCCTGCGGTGCAGCAGGAGTTGGTGGACTCGCTGCGCGTCTAATGCGCTGCTAATGGCATCGGTTGACCTGCGATAATGAAGTGTAAACTGTGCGTTTCACAGGTAAGCCAAGGACGTTTAGCATATCCCTAAAAACTCGAGTATCCTGCCGAGCAGCTTGGTGAAATTTGCGTCCAATTTGAGCGGTGCATAAAATTCGATGCTGGCAATTAATTTGTTGCGGTGCCGTTGCGGTTCCACTCAGGTGACACGGTTCTGGCACCGTGGAGGTGGGTGTGGCAGCGCCTCTACACCTACGGCGAGAGCCGCATGACAGCGCAGCGACAGCTGCACGCACACTAGGCTAGACCTAAGCAATCTCAGATGCTGTATAAAAATCTATTTAAGCACGAACCTATTAAAATCAAACTAAATCCAACGCATTTTTACGACACACAAACTCGGGCAGTCCATGCCCTGCCCTGGGGAGCTGCGTTTATAGCCCGTCCGACTCTTAACTGATTCAGCAAAAAGGGTATAATTATGCGCCATAAAAATACACGGGGCATATGCGAGCAGCGGCTGCGCTTAAAGCAGACTAAGGAATACGCTCTACTAGTATTGGAGCTGTTATTAATTACTCTGAGTGTATTAACTTGTGCATATATTAAAAATAGTATTTATTAAATTGTGTAACTCTATAATTAGTGCAAAAGCAAAAGAATATTCATTCACGACTATTCTGATTGACTCTAGTATTCATTGTTAAATAATCAAATATAAAGATGAACTTTGCTTTCCTTCGTTTCAAGTTTTGTATTTTACATATATTAAACTAATTTTGTTTACCTTAATTTCAAGTTCTACATTTTGTAGATACAAAAATTTAATTTTGTTTCAGTTTTATATTTTATTTCTTAATATTTATTTACCGCATAATCGAAAGCTCTTATCGTTTATATTTATCTAAAGTTTTATTTTGTATTTCTGATTATTTATTCAACGTATAACCGAATGCTCTATTTAATAAGCAGTTATATACTTTTCAAAGGGCCTTAAATCACTTTAGTTTGGATTTAAATCCAATTAGGTTTTTAAGCCATAGACTAATTTTTAATAATTAACTTGTCAGCTGTTTCTAAACAGTTAAATTTATTTCTATATTAAATATTCAAGTAGTAAAAATGTTATCAAAATATAAATATGTTATATATGAAGTTCTTTTCGAAAGCAAATTTCCTACGTTGAATCTAAAGAAATTCTGTTTGATTTAGAGTTGTATATATTGCTCTTCAATTAATTCTTTCTTTTGTTAATTTTATATATGCCAAATGAATAATTGTGATTATAAGTGAAGAAAATTGCATAGCAAATAATAATACAAATAATAATAATGCTTACCATAGCATATAATGCTCATTTTTACAGACTTTTTGTATTAAATAATTAATAAATAATCAAAGAAATCATCAAAGAAAAACCAAAAAGAAAAATCAAAAACAAAAAATAAGGGCTTGCTTTATTTGCATTGCTAAGATAAATATAAATTTTTAATAAAAGTTTCATAGAAGCAACAGAATTCTTATTATTATTATTATTATTTTTTTTTTTTTTTTTTTTTTTTTTTTTTTTTTGTAAAACATGTCTAGCCTAAACATTTGTATACAGAGTAAACGTATTTAAGCTGCCTGTATGAATTTATTAATAAAAATCTGCATCATTTATAATGCAGAATAAGAAAAATATACATTTAATTATAATTTTTAATATGCCACTCTTTGTATATAATTTGCATAAAATGATTGCATTTAAATAAATCATTTTTTATATAATTTTCATTAAATGATTTCATTTAAAATACATTCATTCATTAAAGTATCAAAAACTAATCAACTATTTCCTGAGCGCTTTCATCGAGCTCTGCTAGCCAAAGAATCATTTATTTCTGCATACATATAGTTAGTTACATATGTATGAGTATGTCTATCGTATATGTATTTTCTGCACATGCTTTTCATATTTGAGCACAGCTAAAATCCCAATTTCGTTGCCTGACGCTGAGGTTAGCGCAAAGTGTAAAATTCTCAAAGGCGGCAAAGGAATATGCCGAGGCCACGCTCGAGCTGAGCCACTGCCCAGGCCCGATGCATGATGAAATTTATTTTATATATATGTATATACAGCTATATTCACATATGTATATGTGCATGTTGTTGTTGATATCCTACCCACCTCTTGTTGCCCATATTGTTGCTGTTGCTGTTGCTGTTTCCGTGGCAAATTTTAATCAAATTATGCTTCAAGTGAGCAACTCTTCATGGAGCCCAGCTCCACTTGGGTTGGTTCGGGTTCTGCGCTTGGCGTGCGGCATTTTAGTTGCTGTTGAGGAAATATCATGCCAAAATATTTACCATGGCTACTGTGCTGCCTCAGTCCAAGGACTACAGCTGCCAGCTCGAGCTCGAGCTCAGCGAGCAGCATATCAATTTTAATTATTTCTTAGCGCATTTTTGACGCGAGTTTTGCATTTCACACGGCACAGCGCGAACTGCCATCACATGAGCGAAGAGTGGACCCGGATCGGGCTTCGTTCTCATGTTTTTCAGCGCGGTTTTTCCGCCTGGCTGAGAAATTGTGGTGCCTGACGCACATTGTTTGCCTTGCTGGGTTTTCTCAGGACATGGCCTAACGCGCAGCCTGAACCGCAGCATCAGCCTGAGACCGAGTATGGCACTAGTTTCTCCGTCGACCGCTTTGTCTCGCAGTCAAGCATAAACATTTTGGCCAAACAATCAAACAATTGGCAACAAATGTCGCTTTGAAGTTGTGCGCCGCAGCCCCGAGAACTTGCCCCAGATTCGAGGCGAAACCTCAGAAAGTTGCTGTATTTAATTGTGCCAATTGCACAGTACATATACATACATATATATTTCTTTTTTAGGCTCTACTCGAGGTGCCTTTGTGCACTGGGTCGTGAAAGTGTCCTTTGAGGTCGCCTTTTGTGGCGGCCCGTTTGACTACCTGCCCCGTCACCTATGATGAACGCCGACTGCAGTCCGAGCTCATGACAATGAGGACAATGATGTCTCAATCGGGTTCCATTATTCGGGGCCAACGTGGCGACTCATGTGTCGGCGCGCTTTGACCCGACACATTGAGTTGTCTCCGGCGGCAGGTTAAAGGATTACGCAGCCATGGACAGACATTGGCCCGAACAGCTACCAAGTCAGCAGTTTTTGTTTTTTGTTTTGTTTTCTTCTATTTCATTTCGTATTCTTTCTATCGGGCCTATCATTTGTCACCACGCTAAGCAGCCAAGTGCTGGGAGCGGGGGCTGCAGGGGCACCCCTGCCGTTGTCACCTTTTTGGCCGTGCTGACACCATAATTTCTTGGCCAGCAGTGAATTGTTGGCTTAATTGTGTGTGCGTTTGGCTGACTTGAAACGAAGGAAATAAAAACTGAAATCAATGCAAGTTGATTGTTTATTGACCTTTTGAGGCCAGGCCGACAACGTCGACGTCGACTGCCGTTGAATGAGCTACTTTGCGACTTATCAAAAGGATTAGTCGCCTGGGGCAGCCAACGGATGCTGGCAAGTGCCTGCTCCCCGATAAGGCCCCCTAATGAGACGCATTTGTTAATGTGCTCGAAGACCCAAAACACCTGATTATCAGCAGCTAAGCCTGACGAAAATAATTAGTATATACATACATACAGACATATATTTTTCCTCTGTTCACACCAAAGGGCCGTAGCCGACTTTCCATTTGTCGGACAGTTTTACCTCATTATTATTATTACATTTGTAATTCAGTTTATCGGGTAAATCGGATTAATGCCTGTGAACAGCTTCTTATAATCTAATCATGTTTATCTTTGTCGAGAATGCGAAACCTTTGTATACTTAATTATATATGAACTATATTATTTGGAACACAATGTAAAATATGTAAATATATTAAATAATAATTAAATAAGCAAATTTATTGAAGCTATTAAAATGCTAGAGAATTGTTTATGCCTATTATAATTTTTAAGAGTTTAAAATGTATATAAAATATATATATTTGATATATTACGATTACCAGAATCTGGCACGATTTAATTTAGAAATTAAAAAAAAAAAGAAATTAATATTAAATAAATAAATGGAAATAATAATAATAATAATATTTCTAAGATAAATAAACAAAAAATAAATAGTAATAATAATACACATTAATAAAAATATGAATAATATAACAATAAAAATAATAAGAAATTTATAGACCCTGAAAAATAAAACTTATTTAAAATTCCATTTTTAAATCTATAAATTTACATTGAGTTATATAAATATATGTATTCCATTTAATGAAGCAATTTTATTTTAATATTTATTTATTTAATATTTAACTATTTATTTATTTAATATTTAACTAATATTAAAGACACTCTTCTTGAATAAATTCAAGCTATTTTCTCAATTTTTCTCTTTGAATTTCTCTCATACTCATTCTCTTCTCATCTACTTGTAAATTTCCTTTCCCCGAGCTGGAAGCAATTACACATAATTTACAAAGTGTATTGAGTGCGCACTCTCGGTATCAAATGATGAGGAAACGCACTGAATTCCTCTATTATAATTTTATTGCAATTAATTTATAATTTTCCCTCAATTTTCCAACTAATTTTTGTGCAATTGAATCAGTTGCTTTGCAATGTTGTAAAAAGCTTTTGCTGAAATTGTGCGAAACTTAATTAAATTACACAACACGCGAAAAGTGTTTGCATTTGCAGCTTCCTCTGTGCCCTGTGCCCCGTGCCCCGTGCCCCGTGCCCACTGCCTTTTGACCCCTGACTCCCAACTCTGTTGTACTCCTTTGCCTTTGAAGGCCGTCAGAGCAGCTGTCACTTTTTTTCGCATGCGTCAGTCACAGCAGCAGCAGCAGCAGCAGCAGCAACATGCAGCATGGGGCAACTCTTTTTGGACGCAGTGCCTCCACTTGAACCATTCACAGCTGTCTCCCTCTCTCTCCCCCTCTCTCCCCCTTTCTCCGTCTCGCTGTCAGTGTCGTCAGTGGTTGGCAGCCAATTTGGTTCGCTTTCGTTGTCCAATGCGACAGCAGTGGCAATTTCTAATTAAATTATTCAATTTTTTTTTCTTTCCAGCTTCTTCAGCTCTCGCTGTGATAATGACAGTACCAGGGGGAGAGGGGGAGGGGACTGTGCACAGCGTGTGGCCGCCTTGGAGTTGTTGGCCAAGTTTTTGCATTTTATTGATGGCAGCCAGCTATTTCCTTTCACTTAGCAAAAGGTTCCCAGAAAATATGTAATTGCTGGCCGAATAATCAAAAGTTTTTCCGAGCACCAAATTTGCATCACAATGCGAAAGGCCCAAAATAGAATCTCGCATTTCCACAGAGTATGCCAAAAGAAAAGTATATTCTATGTAGATGCTTTTCCTCACTTAAAGAACTGTTCCGAGCACGAATTTTGCGTATAAAAACTTGCATTTGCTCTGAAATTGAGATAAATGGTATATGGCGAGAGGCGGGGATAGAGAGAGAGAGAGAAAACGAGAGAGAGAGAGAGGTAGTGATATAAAGAGTGATAGAGAGCAAAAAAAGAAAAGTGTCATTATATCCTAATTAGATTCAAATATCTAACAATTCCAGCCACAAGCCCTGCCTGAAAACTTTCCTTATCGCATTGCCAATGCGGTTAAAGAAACTAGCAGAAAAAAAAAAATGAACTGAGCATGTTTAAGTTGCGCGACTAACAAATACCCAGTTTTGGAGTCTGTGAGTGCAAGAAAATTCATTATGCAGTAACAGAGATTGAATTTGGATGAATATATACTCAATTAGGGTTATAGACTTGAAGCACAACATTTATGTTATCTATCAAAGAGATTTCTTAAAAACCTTTAGATATTTTTTCCCAGTTGGAGTTTAATGTATTGTAACTGCTTAATGATATATCTCCAGAGTTGATCACAATAAAATAAACAAACATGATCTACAGTCTTAATAGATTTAGGCGATGATTTGAAGACTTGGAATATAAATAAACCAAATATAGATAAACTTAAATTCGAGCTACATCTCGATTGGTTCAGCCTCAGTTCCAAATACTCCCCTCAGCAGCCGCATCCTGATTCCAGGGTAAGCACACGCCAGCAAAAAGCAGAAACGTAAAGAACTCCAAGAACTGGGCACTGGGTGGCACCAAAGGGAAACTGCAAATAAAATTGCAGACGCAGTTTGAAATTGAACAACAAAAATGCATTTAGAAATATGTATTAAGAAGAGGAAGAAAAAAAAGAGAGGCGAAATGATACGAGCTTCGAGATGAGATGAGATGAGATGAGATGAGATGAGATGAGATGAGCTGAGTTGAGAGTTGGGTACAGATAGAAAGCGAAGCAGAGTAAGTCAGAGGCAGACAAAGAGAGAGAGAGAGAGAGAGAGAGAGAGAGAGAGAGAGAGAGAGAGAGAGAGAGAGCGCGAGAGCGAGAAAGAGAGAGAAATAGCACAGACAGAGGAAACTGACAAACCTGCAAAAGTACTGACAAACTGTGAGTGGTCCGAGTATGGTGATTGAGGCGTCGAGGGGTTGGAGTGCTTCGAGGGGGCTGGCACTCTTGTCAGCCGTTGAAATGGCCCAAAGTTCTTATTGTTGTCTCGCTTGTTTGTGTTGTTGTCACGGCATGGTGCGAATATTTCCGTTTCGGCATTGCCAAATATGTTTGCCAGCTGCAGCTGCAACAGTACTAAGCCACGACCCTTCGCAGACCCCGCGCGAACCACCGAACACCCGAACACCACTTCAGCCATAGAGCAACAAACACTCGCACTTTCAGAACTTCCGACTTTTTTGGTCCGGTCCACAGTGCCCCGTGCCTTCGCTTTGGAAAAGTTTTATGGCCGTGCGTTGCACATAAATGAAAGTTTTTGCTTGATCCTTCACGAAACGCTGGACTTTCCGCATGTTTCACTGTTCATCTGTCTGTCGCCTGCCTCCTGCCTCCTGTCTCCTGCCTCCGGCCGTCCCTCCGACTGTCTTGCAAATGGCCCTGTTTCGTCTTGGTCAACGGAGGCGGGGCATGCCCCAGCAATCGCCTGACCTGATGAAACGAACGGTGGTTACCCGAGTGGGGCGAGTGTGTAACTATTTACCACACACATAACAATGCAATTACTATAGGCCAAAGGATTCTCGACTTGACCGCAAACTTAAACTTTACACAAATGTGGTCAAGTCCCAAAACAAAGGGCACTTCAAGCGACCACTGGCTGGATTTGCAATGAATTTCAGAGATTCCGTACTCAAGTCCCTGTTTGATTGTTATAATATCCCCGACTCAGCTATTTGATAGCTGAAGAGCAGAACGCTTCGCATAACTCCTATAATGTTCATTTCTGTTCCACTTTTCATTTGGTATACAAAATCGACTATCACAGCTTTAATATTTTTTCTCTCCCCTACGAAGTTCTTCAAGTTTTCCGTTTTCCTTCGAGTCGTGCTCTCCTTCCCTCACTCCAGCTTATGTCAAGTTCTTGGAAACTATCGGAGTTTCTCTTGTTTCTGCTCTTCCGCCACAATTCATTCGGGGTCCGCTTCGCTCTGCTCATATTCCTCGGCTTTGCTCACATTTTTTCTACAGCAAATTCTCGTTCAATTAGTTACAGGTTCCACCTTATAAATCCTGGATAGTCGCCCGGTCCACCGCCCAGTTGCCTCGAGGAGTTGAGCTCCATTTGGCGCTTGGCTTAATCGTTTAATTGCCTGGCATAATTACGAATGCAGCTCATCATCAGATTTCAGCTCGATTTCTTTGGATTTCCTACCCACCCCCGCTCGCTCCCTGCCTCCCCAATGGTTCTCCATTGTGTGCTCGGCTTTGGCTTGCGGGCGGATGTTCGGATTTCTCATTGCACTGGCAAATTGACCCAAAAAGTTGTTGTCCTTTGCCCAGCTAAATTGTCCTGCCGCCTCGGGCCGTCGCTTTATCGGCAAAGGAAAGCCAACTAAAAAAAGGAAAGGAGTACACTTGTCCAGCGTCCATTTCACACTCGGCCCATAACTCAGCCGGCTGGCATTGATGGGCGGGCAGGACTCGGGATCGAGCAGTGGGCGATGGGCGTGGGGTTGTTCGATTGCCCCATTGCTTATCTAACTGCAGCAACTATAATTTGCTTTCAATTGATTTCGCCGTGACTTTGTTGCCCTGTGCCACGCC